AGGACGTTCTCATGGGAAAGCTGACCTGCTTTCACACCACAAGCAGTGGCATGCTGAGTAAGGTTCTTGGGCGAAAGTAATCCGAGTTAAGTGAACAGCCTTTGCGCATTTGCAGAATTCTCCGAGGTGTTTTTTCGGTGTGCAGGACCTTGGACTCCTTGTAGACAAGGGGCCGGTGTCACTGACGGGCGTATTTAGGGAATGTGACTCAGGCGCATGGATTTCCCGAGCACTTGAACCTGGGACTCTGAGAACCGCGCTGCACGCTCAGGTGTCAGATGGATTTCAGGGAGACTTTCTCTGACACGTGGCCCACACCCCCAGCTCTGTGAGCGCGGTAGACTGGGTGCCCTGACGCTGTGCCTGGATGTCGTGTGCCTCTGCTCTAGAGCTCATTCTCCTGTCGTGCGTGCCACGTCTGTTCTGCACATGCCACTCCCCTCCCCCACCCCCGGTCTCCCCAGAGGATGCAGATGAGAGAGCTAAGGGACTTCGCCCTCACGGAGACTTTCCCGATGGCCCCTCCCAGGGGCAGCCTTGAGGGGGCTTGGGTGTTCATGTGCGCAGAGAAGTAGCAGCACTTACCCAAGAATCTTCTGTCTGTTCCTGGCTGTTGGTCTTTCTCCTGGTTGGTGCCGTAGCGCAGAGATGATGGGGAACATGGAGCTGGCCCCAGAAGTGGACGTCAGCGCCCTGGAGCCTTTGCTGTCTCCACACGTGGTCTCTGAGCTGCTGGACACGTACATGTCGACTCTCACTGTGAGTAGGACGGTGCGGGCCCAGGGCGCAGACACTGCGGCGGCCCTGCCAGGCGGGCTGTGGCCAGTGCCGTGGGCAGAAGCAGGGCGAGCCCCTGCCCGGGCGCCGGCCTCCTGAGGGTGCACGGGCTCTGTGTCTGGGAATCGGGTCTTGAAACGTATGTCGGGCAGTTAGACTAGGGGCGCGGCCTCATCTCCGGCTGGAGGAATGAGCCTGTCCTGTGCCCGGTGGCCAGCGAGACGCTGGACGTCCTGCCCAAGTGCAGTTGGCACCTGCCAGCCCGAGAGTGGGAGGGTGGCATTTAGGGCACCGAGTGCTGCCTGGTGACCCTAGGCAGTCCCAGAGCATGAGGAGGGCAGAGTCTGCTTCCTGGGCCAGTGCGCTTGGCGCCAGACTGCACTGTCACCGAGCTGCGGTGGCCCATGCCTGGGCCCACGCCTCTGCTCATAAGGACGGCGCTGGTGCCCAGGCCGCCAGAGGCGGGTCTTCCACGTGTCCCTGAACCGGCCTGTCCTCCAGAAGCTTCAGTCGATGGAGGCTGGCGAGGGCACCTCGGATGGCCTCTCTGGTGGCG